TGTTGAAAAAAGGAAATGAACCAAACCTAATCTCCAGCACCATAAAGGTGATAGCAATGCCAGACATTTCCCTGGGGATTCATAAATGCACTTCTCCATTCATGGCGAAAATTACACGATACATCACGGTAGTTCACGTTATATATGGTCGGAAAATTACCGCTGGCAGACATTTCAGGGCCGCGTTTTTAATTTTCGGCTGCAAGTTTGATATTTCAATCTACCTCCCTGATAGTAAATCAGTTCAAGGGCTTTCACAGACCGTAGGATACATCTTTCGTATTGTGCAGGTACAATCAAATCCATAAGCCGCTTTATGAAAGCAACGGTCAAACATCACCGCCCTCCCTCCGACACCACCATTTGATAAATTCTAAGCACACCTTTGTTGTAACCACAACTCTAAACTCTTCGCATGTTGTACTTGATACGAGGCATCCAAACTTCGCCAGCTATTCTCACTGTGACGTCACTGGCAGTATTGAATTAACTAGCTGCAGAAATCAAGAACTGGAAGGATGATTTGTGTGATTTGATGTTCCCTAACATCAGAATTGTGTATTTAAATACCCTTGTTAATTGAATCATAGCTATCACGTTTGACTACTTTCAGGAATTGTTCTATTTTATTGTCATTGGTTTCATAAGATTTACATTCATGACACGCTCTCTTTTCAAAACCACGGGACCTTAATTATAAGGCCTACGTGTCCATCACACAGTGTCAAATAACAATAGGTAACTAGAAAGGCCAACATTTGCTTCGGAGCAAATGTAATATTTCACTCCATCTCCCTCCCCATACAAAAATAGAAGATTCTGAATAAATCATACTGCAATCATACAAGGACAAGCTTTTTGAATCTCGACAGATATTTACAAAAATGGCACTTGGCCATTATCTCCCTTTTTTTACAAAGATACAACGACAAGCACTTTAAATCTCGACAGCTTTACTTTACACTTATCTCAATTTCAAAGTTACATATTGCAGGTATCTAAATACTACTAATGACGAAATTGCAACTACTACTAACGGCAAAATTTTCACGGTCTGAGAAACATGGACATGTTCACGGAACTATATATTCACGGTGGTGACAGTTGCAGGAAAAAGAAAGTCCAGGAATTATTTCCTAACTGTAAAGATAAGTTCACGGTACAGAGGTGACAGTGAAAACCGTGAACATTGACCTCCTGCTTGCGTTACGTTGCGGTACAGTG